CTGCGGGCCGGGGTCGGGGCCCGGGCCCGGCGCGTGCGGCGCGGCCCCGCCGTCGGGCGGCGGCGCCTCCATGTTCCGCTGGCTGGAGGTGCTGGAGAAGGAGTTCGACAAGGCCTTCGTGGACGTGGACCTGCTGCTGGGCGAGATCGACCCCGACCAGGCCGACATCACGTACGAGGGCCGCCAGAAGATGACGAGCCTCAGCTCGTGCTTCGCGCAGCTCTGCCACAAGGCGCAGACCGTGGCGCAGATCAACCACAAGCTGGAGGTGCGCGGGGCGAGCCGGGCCGGGCCGGGCCCTGCGGGGGGTCGGGAGCGCGAGGGGCCCCGCCGCCGAGCGCCCTGCGGCAGCCCGGCCTCGGGCCGCGCTCTCGTGTCCTCCTTCCGAGCGGCGCTGGCCGCGGGCCCGCGTGCCGCTGCGCACCGGGAGGGCCTTGATGGGTCTGCGTGCCTCCCGCCCGGGCTGCCCGGGGAGGCTGCGGGCCCTCCTGCTCTGGAGGGCTTCCCAACCCGCCCGCGTGCCGCCCTGTGCCCCCTGCTCTGGGTGGCCCTGCTGGAGCAGGGGGTTGGACGGGGGCGTCTCCAGAGGTCCCTGCCAACCTCAGCCATTCTGTGATTCCCTGAGCTAAAACCCGTTTTTTTCAGCATCTCTTACGGGGATATGCATTATGGAGCTCTAGTGGTTATTCTAGCAAATTTGGAATATGTAGAGGCAAGAGGGAGAAAAAAAATACTAGAAACCACAAAGATGCATCATTTTTAAGAGCTTCTGTGGACATGTAAACCACAGACATAAGTTATTTTGGTTCTCTCTTTGTTTTAAATACATATTCTCCTTGTCTGGAGAGAATGTATTTTTTTAAATACATATGCTCCTTCTCTAGAGGTCTTCAAAACCCACCTGGATACCACCCTGTGCCACATGCTGTAGGTGTCCCTGCTTGAGCAGGAAGGTTGGACTAGATGATCTCTAGAGGTCCCTTCCAACCTTGAACATTCTGTGATTCTGTGATATTCTAGTAACTGAAATCTTCAGATTGTAGCCTGCCCTTCCGCAGCGCTTTGCTGAAGGAAGTGAAGTAAGTAAAATGGCCTTGGTTTTGATTAGGTTCCTTCCGTGTATGAAGGAACTTTGCTGTCCTAAATAGCCCTAGTGTCTAGCTGGGAATCAAGGTATTTCATAGTAGAATGAAGGCTTCATTAGGCAATGAGCCCTGTTCCTTGTAGCCTTTATTTCAGCAGACACAGACTGGAGTGATGCAGCGAGTGTTCTTGTTGCTGCTAGGCTGTCATACACATTTTTAGTACTGGACTTGCATATGTAATAGCAAGCTCTGCTATGAGCTTAAATCCTAATTTACTAATCCTATAGAGCTGCGAGTTCCTGGTAGCTGATCAGTGCTTCTTGTGTATTCCATGGGCATGGTGCGTGTTTTGAATGGACTTGTCAAACAAATGGGTTTTCAGCTTATCTTAAGAGAATGGTGATGCATGGCAAGTTGCTCTCTGAAGAGTTGCTTCAAGCTTAAATATTTTGAAAGGAAGCAGCAAAACTGAGATGCTGAAAGAGATGTTGGTGGCCGACTAAAGTTGTCAGGGGTTGTAGGCATCTGTTAGCTGGAGGTCTGTGCCCCAGTCCTGAAGGGCTCCTTGGTGCTGCAAGCCCTGCTGCGAGTCTCTGTAGCGTCGTGAGAGTGTGTCCAACTGCGAGAAGTAATTCAATGTGGTGAAAATGGCGTTGAGAGCCTGGAGGGAGCAATTTGGAAGTGAGACAGAAAACCTCTTATTCTGTTAAATAGTTTTATTACAGATACATTGGTTAGGCCAGATACATATAAAGGACTTTTTTTATCATTTAAATAGACATTTATAGAGTTAAAGTATTGTCTTGAAGGCTGTTAATTTTAATCTCATCATTGAAGATGAAGTCTAAAATTAATCTTCAAGATCCATAAACTTGAAATGAAAACTACCAGTTAAAATCTGTAAAAGAACTTCTCTGTAGAGAATGAGGGTCTTGTCTTTTTGCATGCCTAGATGTCTAATCAAAAGTCTCTGTGTACAGAATGAATGATGCAGTTACAACTTTCAAAGAACTGACAAGGATTAGTACTGGAATTTGGGATATGATCAGTGGGTTTGCTGTTTTTTTTTTTTTAATAAAAAGTGCTGCATCTCTTATGATATTTAAAATAATAGTCATTTCTTAATAGCTCATAATTGAAATTTTATGAGCCTGTGCTCTTCATAGGAAAATTTTCCTCATGTTTGTAAAGTGTCATGAGCCAAAGTTTACTTAGGTAAAAACAGTTGCTCAAGCAATGCATTAGATTTTGAAAAATACTCCTTTTACTTGGATGAAAGCAATACTTTGACTTCCATGTGTTAGACTTTTAGCAGCGCTTTGAAGCTGAGACTTGCCTGCTGCAGTTACTTTTGCAAGCCACTGCCTTACTGAGTGGGTGACAATATTCCCCAAAGGGAAATCTGAGTAATAATAAAAAAATAACGTATATCATTCTCTTGATTGTGGGTTCTGAGTCATTTTTAGCAGAGCTCATGGATCGTGTTACAGCATTACTGGCAGAAAAACAGTTCAGACATTGCTTTCTGTTATCAGCTTAATGTGCATTCTCTACTTACATTTCTTATTAAGAAGCACAGTTTAGGAGTTTAGTTGGTGATGGGAAAAACTCCCACTTCTGGGATTTTGGTGCAAAAAATGCTTTGGCATGGTGTGTAATACCTACTGCTAATGAGAGAAAAGACCTAGGTAAAATGATGTGTTGAGGGTGCAGTTTTGTTTGGAAGGCACCTGAAGGTGCCCCAAGGCACAGTGAGCATGCAGATACATTTGCTTGTGCTCTGGAGTGGCAAGAAGTTGCAATCCTGCTACTGTGATGATAACATGTGCAGCGTTTAATTAAACTGAGGAGGAGGGGGACTTGTTTTCCTATTTTTCCTACTGGTTGCAGTAGGATAGAGTTAATTAAAGTTGATTGTTAAAGAGGAAAAACATGTTGGATGCAAGAGGCCACCACCTTCTCTAAGGTCAGCTTGATTTCCCTTGCATGGTGTAGAGCCCTTGGGAGAAGTGAGGGAGTGGATCTTGCGGGAGGGCAGTAGAGGCCTCTGGCTGTTAGAATGAAGGGAGTGACACCCCTTCTAAAGGGAGTTCTTGTGTCCTCCCTTCCTCCCTCCCTCCCTCATTCCCTCTAGGAAGGCATTATAAGTCAGCAGAGACAGACTGCAGGCAACATGTGAAATTTCAGGTTTAAGTTAGAGGAAGTTAGATTGCTAAGTCCAACATTGTTTCATTGATCATTTTGGAATGTGAAAGTTCTGTGTAATGCAGCTTTACAGAAGTAAAAGAAGTGGTCAGTCTGCCTCAGCTTTTGATGAAAGCTGGACTTGAGTTTAACTCCGGCCCTGTGGCACCCAGTTTAATTCTGCAGTTTCAAATGAGCCAGCTAGAAGGGGGTGCCTGGCTGAGCACTCTGGGTGTCTCGACCCAAGACAGCGGCTTAATCTGCTTTAATCCAATATAGATGCTGGAATGGAGCAAAACATTTAAGTGTTTGTTTAGGAAGCTGATCACCTATGTAGCTTTATATCCTTGATGAGCTTAGAATCAGTTAACGGGTTTATAGGAATGCACTCCTATATGGTGAGCTCTTCTTCAAGTAATTTGTTCATGTGTCAGCTAAAGCTGATGGGAACCTCCATCATATTATTCACCATTAAAAATGGACCTAGTTTAGTGTTTTCTTAGTAACAGGATCAAAGGAACTAGCTGATCTGTTTTCCTGATGATTTACTGGAAATGTTTCTGTCATAATGCAGATGTCCACCATCCTCCTGAGTCACTGACACCTTCTGGATACGGGCAAGGCTCGTTTGTCCCTTGGATTTACAGTTTCCCCAGCACAACTTCCTTGAGCTTCTTTGCCTGCGTGCGCTTGGCTTTGCCAGCTGGCCAAGGGGCAGCTCAGAACTGCACCTTGACTGCTTGTCCATCGGCTGCCAGCTTTGTGACCGGATTAAACAAACCGAGATCTGACTCTTCCCACTTTTCCCTCGGTGAAGGGAAGTACCCACTTACAAATTTGGTTCAGCCTGGAATACTCTGCGTAATGAACTCACAGCAGCAGGAGGGATGGGTAAAATAGGGAGAATTGTTGACATAGAGAGACCAAATGATTGCGCTGGACTGCCCTTCATGAGGAAACCCAGGAGAAAATGATGCAGAGTTAACCATTTTGGTGGCTTCTATTGCTTGTCTACTTCCTTCTGACGCCTTTAAACTTACAGTTGTTGGTATGTAGAGATACTGAAAAGCATATTGCTGTGTGCCTCAAAAACACTGATTTCACTTTGATAGAGATGATAGAGAAGGAACGGAGAAGGAATTATGGTGAATAATATTAGTGCCTTGCCCTCTTATTACTTGGGCTGATAACATGTCTTTCATTTTCAGCTCAGTCTTATTTTGAATCCTCCCATCTGGGCAATGGATAAATCTTAGATATTCTTTCACATCTAATTAACCCACGTACCACCTATAATCGTGTCCATAATGAAGAAGTTGTTGGCATGATAACTCAGAAAATAAAAGCTACTCCCAGAGCCAAAGTGGTTGTAATTTTTTGACAATACCCCCTCTCTTTTTGCCTCCGAGTGCAGTTTTCCTTGCTTTCAGTGATAAATTCATTGCATCTTGCCAACAGAGCTGGTTAGTTGTCTTCACCCCACTTTCTAAAACCTTGCAGTTCTTCATGTGCCTCCTCTCACGTTCTGGGCCTGAGAGACTGTGGTGCTGCCACCTTCTCATTCCTCATCCCAGGTATCCTTTCCAGCAGTGACTGTGAGAAATGGTTAACTTGGGCCTTCCACCTGCCATCTGGCTGCTTCCTACTGCACCAATACCTCCCTATTTGTACTCCTCCTTCACGTTGTGTTCATTCCTTATATTGAGATTACACATTGTCCAGGGCAGGGTCCATATTCTTTGTTCACTATATGTGCAGCACTTAACATAAGATCCTGGTTATGCATCTGAGATTTTAAATATAGGATTTTCAGTTAAATGTTTTATCACTCACCTTCCTATCAAACATGTACTAGTAGCTGGATGAGTCTTTCTGATTTTTTTTTTTCTGAGAGGTGAGACCACCAAATAAAGAGAGGATTAAATGTGCTATAGAATACTCCAAAGAGATCCCAGTGATGTTTACTTTTCTTTTAAGGCTCTAAGCTCCCTCTCTGTGTCTCAATTAAAAAAAAAAAAAAAAAAAAAAAAAAAAAAAAAAACCCAGAAAACCTGCAAAAGACTACATGACTATAAATGTAATCCATCCCTGCAATTAAACTGAATTTATTTTATATTGACGCCTTAAAGGGCATTTTTTTATTGCCACATCATTTGCATGAACATTACTCTTGGATACCTCATAGCTGCTTGAACAGGAAATAAGAATTGCTGTTTCCAGAATGGAAAGGCTTTCTGTCTGCTCTGTTTTGTCTACAGAAACTCTAATTCTTGCAATAATATTTTTGCTTTGCAGAGTATTTGTTTATTTGTTGCTTAGTGTCATGACTTCTTGTCTGTTGTCTTCTAAGGGAAAGAAAAACGTGCCAGTTTAAAATTCTCTTGCTATTTGAGTAAATTGAGTAAATATTTAGCCTATCGGAGCTATTTTTTCGGTAATAATGCTTTTGAATTGTTTGGAAGATGAAGCTGGAAGGTGTTTTGGTTGAGAAGATTTTTTTTGGTTCATTTGACCAGTATCTGTAATTTACTCAAACTGCAGACTTTCTTATTTAGTGATTAAAGGTAGTTTAATAATAGGCCAATGTCATGGTGATCTAAAGCAGCAGCTATTTCTGAAAAAGATGTTTACCAGTAATCTGCACAGTAATATGCTACATTAAATAAAAAAAAAAAAAATTTGTACTTTAGGGGAATAAAATCAGCTTGTATTTCCTGCCTCTGGACATGGGCAATTACTGCAAATTCAGAAGCTTTGTTGACTGCAAAATGATAATTCTTCTATTTGCCCTATTCTCCAGCGTTCTTGGTATTCAGAGTTGCATAATGTGGTGATATAATTTGTGTTTTTTATTCCTTGTCTATGGTTTTAGTTGCTGAAAAGCTACATAAATCTCTAATGCTGGATTAGTAGTAGAGAACTCAGTTATCTCTTCTGTTTTATCTCTTCTGGTTTATCCGGAAATAATACTTAGGGTTTAATGTATAGCATTAGTAATGCTGTTTCCTAAAGTAAGTAATTTCGCTAGATCAACCAGAGAGTTTTAAGTTTATGAGAATCTGAACTAAATTGCGGGTGCTTACTGAGTGCTATCTTAGGATCGTCTTACAAAAATAATATACTGCCTTGAATAATATCATTGAAATGTTTTAGGATTTAAAAAAATTATTCCTATACAATAGCATTTTAAAAATCATTTGCAGATGATTTGCTGAGCATTAGAATGATACCACATTTGTTGACTCTTAGGGGTATGAGCTTTGTGTGGAGTGTAACTTGCCATGTGCCAAGGCAATAATTAAATGTATTTGTTGTGTATTTTCTGGGGGAAATAATGTGGTCCTGTCTGTCTTTGGGTATTCATAATGTAGAATATTTTTGTCTTGCAAACCCCTTCATGAAAATTCTTTGGTTTGAACTTGTGTAAAATTACCTTGAGAGGAAAAGCCCAGTCAGCTCCTCTGTGTCAATCTAGAAACAGTTTAACAACAAAAATGATTACTCTGTTAATAGTATATTAGAAAAGGAACAGCAGGGTGCTTTTCGGAACTTAACATACTGCTACTTTAGCGTCAGTCATTAATTATAGAATAAAAATCTTATGCAGTTTTCATACAGCTATATCTTATAATATTGTTTTGTGTGTGTGTAAAATAATTTCTACTGCATTTCACTTTATCTACTAAATCTACATTTCACAGGTGTTTGAAAGTTAAAATGAATGTTTGTCTGTTTACAGCTTCCTTCTGGGTGCTGCTCTGATTGAACCAGGAAGTTACTAAAAGGATGTGGCAAAATTAAACATAAAACCCTGCCCCAAGCCCAGCCCCTCATTATTCTCTGTGAAAATTTATGTTCTACAGTGTGGTGGCATTTCCCAGACTCTCCTGGCAGGGCAGTAAACAGTCTCCTGTGCTGGAGGTTCGTGGCTCCTGCCGCAAGCCTGGCAGACTGCGGAGCCGTCCTGGGTGACCTTTGCAGCGTGACACAGCATCTCTCCCTCAGCAGCCTGCCTGTACCCCCCAAACGTGCCAGCCAGAGCGGGGGCCTGGGAACCCCTCGCTCATCCTTGCTGCATCCGCATGCTTGGGAACGTTCCCGGCTCTGACACCACTGCCTCCTGTGGGAGCCCTGCGTGGCGTGGAGTGAACGGGCCCCTCCGTGGTTCCCGCTCGGCCTGCGCCTTCCCTCCGTTCGCCTGCTCCCCGCCGGGGTTGCACTCAGTGTTTTCCAGCTCTGCATGTGGGGCTGTTGATTTTTCTGGCCAGCTTTTCGTATGATTCTCTTAGAACACAATGAAGAGAATTATAGATAAGGAACGATGCTAGGAGGAGTATTATAAAGGGCTGTTGTTACTTGTCGTGTATAAAATATCTTACAGTGTGAGACATGGCTATCTTGGTGGCTGTATCACAGTGCATTAGAGAGCTAGATAAGCTGGCCGAGCTGCAAAACGTGGAACTTCTGTGAAATAATACAAAGATTTAGAATCAGCCTTCACAGAAGTAGGTCACAAGGTTTGATATCTGCACTTCCTTCTGGGTACAGCTGCTTTGTTTACATCTGTTTCTGCAGTGTGTTTATGAGCTTTTATAAGATGTAAATAGATTATTTCTGTGCTGCACACGCAGTTGCATGTGCATTTCTGTAGCGTGCACGCTTTCTGAAACAATAGGATTTTTAAATATTGGGTCTCATACAGATTTTTATTTTCCTTTGAATTGGACGGTCTCATTTTGTCTGTCCGTTGATGCTCGCAGAGCATCACTCGGGCTGCAAACTGATAGGGCATCATTCTCACCACTTGGCAGCCTGCACAGAGAAACACGTGTTGTGAGGCCCAGCCACCGGTGTGTTCCCATAGACAAGACCTACGGGTCTCAGTGACGTGCTCCATACTGTGTCGTTGCCCCTTGTGCTGTTGTATCTTTTAACTATCTAAGTTCAGTTTTGGATCCTGGTTCGCTGCAGAAGGGGGTTTCCGCTGCAGAGTTGTGTGGGGCTTGCAGGTTACTCGAGTTTTCTGGTCGCCCGAGAAGTCGGGAAGAGGAAGTTTGCGCAGGCTGTTCTAGGGCACGAGTTGAATGCCCGGCAGGTCTGTCCAGGCCCCGTCAGAGCAGGTGGAGAGGGATGGAGGCTCCTGCTCCGTGCCCTGGGAGGGGGGCCCAAAGCCAGGCGAGCTCCTTGGCGGGGATTTTTTCATGCTGGTTCCCAGGGCATTTGGTGAGGAGGACAAGCTGGGGGAGATAAAGGAGATCCTCCTTCTTGGCAGCAGAGAGCTGGACATGGACTTGACCTGTCTCATCCAGCTGCACTCTAATTTGGGTGCGTCTGAGAGCTTCTGTCTGCTGATTATGCTGGAAGCTTAGGCAAGCTGTTCATCTAAATTAGTTACCTAAAGTTAGACCCAGTAAGTACTTCCCGCTGGTACTCAAATCCTTCTTGCTTTTTTTACTGTTACAAATCTTTTTAAGCAGTGCTTTACTTAACTGAATGGTGGAGTGTTGGCTTGCAATTTGATGTTCATTGTGAAAATCCATTTGTATAATGTTATGAAAATATCAAACATACACTGCTTCCACGTGAAAGACGTCTGAAGAATCGGTGACTTCTCCTTTTTGCTTTTAACTTGCTTTGAAGGAGAAAAAAAAAAAAAAAAGGCCCCGGAGATCTTCTTTGTTTCCTTGTATGAGCACCAGTCTTCAAAGCTGGTGTAAATGTAATTTATCTTAATGCTGCTTGAAATTAAGGATAATAAGTAGCCTGGTAAATGTGTTTGGAATTGGTCTTTTGTTTCGGATAGAAACACTGCCTGTAAACAGTATTTGAAATGTTTCATAACCATTTTTAGAGTTAACAGCTGTCTCTGCTTCTGTACAGGCACATTTTCAGTGATGTTTTAAATCTGGGTTGTCCAGTTCATCGACTGTTGCAGTTAAACTGATGATACTTGTAAACTGACTTATTTCAGAATTTGCTTAATTATTGTAGTACCAAAAAAAAAATGTTTTAAATTGAATTTGCATTGCTCTGGTTATAAACACTATTGTAGATTAAATGCAGTTGCCCTGGTTTAGAGTGGACATGAGCCCTGTTGCCTGCATTGTGAAAAATCTGGCTGCTGCTGTTTTCAGCAGTACGATTGCTTGATGCTGTGTTTGTGGGTGAATAAACGTGGCAGGAGTTAGGGAGGAGAAAGATCTCTTAAGTGATGCCATCTTTAAGCAGGGCTGCAGAGTAAGCGGAGGCAGAGTGTGCTTGTGTCTCCATTAACACTGTGTTGTATGTATGTTCCAATAGAAAAAGTTAACTGTGTATCACGGGTCTGACGACCCCATTTTAATCATTGCTCTAATTACTATCCTGCATTATGTCTTCCAGGCCCAGTTAGTAGATCTGAAGTCTGAACTGACAGAAACTCAGGCCGAGAAAGCCGTGCTGGAAAAAGAAGTGCACGATCAGCTTCTGCAGCTGCATGCTGTGCAGCTGCAGCTGCACGCCAAGACCGGTCAGAGCCTGGACTCGGGGGCCATCAAGGCGAAGCTGGTGAGTCTGGCACACTGAGGAGAGGCTTCTGCAGTGCTTTCTCCTTTTCTTCACAAAGTTCTTTCTTGGAAGGTGCAAATAGACTGACTGCAAATGTTAACATCCAGAAGGTTGGAAGGAATTCACTTTTTACTTAGTAAAAACTGGTTTTCTTAGTAAGCTTGAAGGATTAAAAAATATTTTGATACTTCAGATTTTTTTACAGAGAATGAAATTAAAAGAAATAGCTTCTAATATAAAAATACAACAAAATTTCTATGTATCATAAAAGCAGCCTAAAATAAGATCAGCCTATGGTAACAGTAGTCCGATAGGACTGTGATTGTTTTCCCATAGGTAGAGAAGGTAGGTGGTGTCACACTCCCCTCTTTTGTCTGACTTTTTGCTCAGAATGCTGCAGATCCATCTGCTGCCTATGCACTCTCCTGTCTGTTTCTGCATTCAACAGGCTGTCGTAAATATCGTGACAGACCAGTGCTGATGCACTGGAGTGGTTCTGAGAAGCATGAGGTTCTTATAAAACCCACCAGCAGTAGCCAATGTATAGATGTCTGTGCAAGGGATTGCAATTGACTGGTGACCACAATGTGATCAACTGCCTCCGTACTAGACGCAACACAGTTTCATGCTGTAGCATGGGAATATTTTTAAATAGAAAAGCAAAGTAATTCTGTATACATTGTGGTTTCTGACTGTAGGAATAACTCAAAGTCTTGGTGTCTGGCCACTTTTTAATTTTTTTCACAGATTTTTCTAAATAGCTAATCCCAGCATACATGTAACATGCAGTTAGTTGCCTCTGTCTTGTTACTTAACGCCCGCTGAAACAGTACTAGCTTGTAAAAGCTTACAGGTTATCTGTGCTGATCGCTGATTAGCAGACTAACCTGAATCCTCCCTGTCTCAGATCCAAAAGCTACAGTTGAACTAGAGCATGTCTTTTAAATATACAATATTCAGGAGCACTTATATCAGCATACATGCTGCAAAGTGAAGTTAGAACTGGTATCATTGAAACTACTATATAGAAATGTTATTAACTATATATATGTATATTTTAAAAATAACTAATGCAAAAAAAAAACCTGAGCTGTAAGTAAATAAAAAAAAAAATCCAGTGTTGAGCTGTTGGCAACAGAAAATCTCTGAGGACAAGAAGAGATGGTATCAACAGAAATTGTGATGGAAAAACAATGTTCTGTACTAGTTAACTTCCTGTTTCTTTTTAATTACAACCACTCTTCTGTTACATGTAGCTTCTTAATATAAACCTACACTTTGTCAGTTGTGAAATAGTGCACAGTGGTAAACTAAGATATTTTTCAAAATATTTCAGGTTGCTAGCAGTTGATGACATCATGTAGTTTAGTTTGAATCCCTTTTTAGAGGTGATATATTTGCTTAGTCCAGGCATGATAATGTGACTTTCTTTGTAAGAATATGAAGTCACCTGGTTGAAATTTTCTTTTGTTTTATGATTTACCAATGTTTTGGCTACCTTTCCCCATCCCTTCCGACACTGTTATGATACATGTCCTGTTATCCTTTCTGAAAGTAGATAATCCATAAGCAAATGTTATATTATAGACTATATTTTTATGATCCTTTCAGAAAATTGTTATATACACTATTTATCCATCAGTTAAACCCTTTGTTTTAAATTTAGGAGAGCCAAAGGCAAATGCATTCTTTAGTTTGAAATAGATTTTTTTTTTCTTTTCAGTAAAATACTGTAATGCTTTTCATGTTATCTCATTATTCTTCGTAGTGATTTCAAGTATTTGGCGGGGGAGGAAATAATCTTAACCTAGGTTAAGATTTCTAATAATTTCCATTTCAAAGTACCCAAATTGCTACTCGGTGTGATTGCAGTAGTGTGCTTATATATATATATATATATATATATATATATTTTAATTTCCAGTAAAGACATGCTGATACATTTCTTTCAGAATTCGTGTTATTGCTTTTTCTTAAAGTTCCCACTGCCTGCTTCTCTAATTATGAAACTCTCTTCTGTCTTAAGTCTGTCCTTTCTGTGGAAGAAATGGTAAGTAGGCTGATTGCTTTTATTTGTGTTTAAAACAGTGCTTTGTTTTGTGTAGCAACTTACCTGTGTTGGCCTTAGAAAGTGGCAAAACAGATCTGTCTTGTTCAGTCTTCTTGAAAGTAGACATGATGGTGTGTGAAGATTTTTTTTTGTTCATTGTTCTGTTCTGTTAGTCTTAATAGTGTTTGTAAGTCTATATTTGTTTATTACTGGCAACTTGACATTCTGAAAGATTGTTCTTGTTACCTCTCAAAAAAATTCATCTTTTTTACAATTTATAAAACATAAATAGCGTACACACCTAGCAGTGCAATATGCATTATTTTGTCACACTTTATCTCTTTTTTTTTTGTGAAACTTTCCTTATGTAAAGGGTGCTATATGACATTTGGTTGCCTGAGCAAATATCCCAAATCAAATCATTTTTATGGGGAAAGAGGTTGTAATTCTTCTCTCAAGTTATGTTTCAGATACAGCTCATGTATCTCCCAGGCTTTGTTTCTGAGTAGAAAACTGGTAACTCATAATTTATGTGCAGAGACATTATAAAGTTTTACTTTATGACTTTTTCATTCGGCAACTAAAGCACAAAAAATCCATTGAGAGAAAATGGAATGTTGAGTCTCAATATTATACCTTTATACAGCTACTTTAATTCTATCTTTTTATGTTTGTCAAATCAAAGATGCTCTAAAAGAGATTATTTAAACGGTCAATGGGCCTATAATATTTAGAGCTACTTGATGCAGAGTTTGCAACGTGTATATAACTAATGCAAGTGTTACAGGAACACTGTGTCTGTATGGACTGCCCAGCTACTGTAAAACTAGTTTTATTTATGAACTGTGACCCTTCTAACAGCTCAAGTATTTGGCAGAGGCAATCCAGTGTTTTGGCATTCCTGAATTTTTGTAATTGCCCTCTGACTGATGGCAGATGTGAGTTCAAACAGCCCCAGACCATGATTGCAGTGGTGAGACTTGGGTTTTTAAAATGTAGATTACCTCAAATTCTTGGCTTATGAGTGTGTACTGCAGTTCAAAAGAGGATTTATTGCAAATTTTGTCTTGATATTGGGACAGAGCAGACGCGGCTTTCTGTGCCAGGTTTTCTGATGTGCTCCGTGGTCAAATCTGGCCTGCAGCTGGTCAGTGCAGGAGCAGCAGGAGATGAAATGGTAGTGATTTCAGACAATCTGAATGCTGCTCCCCCTGAGCAGTATGTTGGGCAATTCTTGGCCACTATGTGCAACTGTTTAATACAGCCCATCTGACCTGATACAAATATTTCAGAGCTAAAGTCCATCAAATTCAGAATTCTTTTGCTGGCAAATATCTACAAATGTCTACCTACATATTACGAAAATATGTCTCTTGGGAGGGTAGGACCAATCTAGCTTGAATTCTCATATATACCAGCCATGTTCATGGTTTCATTTAGAGGTCTGGAAAAGTGAAGAAGTGTCTTCACAATTTGTTAACAGATTTGTCTTGCCAATTCTGCAGAATTTTTCATCTTTGCCCTGTTGTTAAGTCGCATCTCCTGGTTTTATTTGTCTCTATCCTTCTATATCTTATGTCTTTATCCTATCTATATCCTATTAATATCTGTCTATAGATATCCTATCTATATTCTTCTGTGCCTATGTACCATCTATATTTATAGACCTATTTGTCTATATTCTATACCTTTACTGTTTTTCCGGTTTGCTGTGTTTTTCCCTACTACTCTTTCAAAAAAAAAAAGATATTGAAAAATAATAAAAAAAAAATCAAGCTCTTCTCAAAAGTAGATTTTGCTGAATAATATGCATATTCTACTTAGGGTATTAGTACTTACTACTAAATACTAGTACTTACTACTAGTACTGGGTATTAGGAAAGATAATGTACAGGAGATTTTCTCTACATCTAGAATTGACCACTAGGGAAGTAACTTGCATTTCCTTATTTCCTTTTTTTTCCTTTTTTTTTTCCTCCATGAGAAAAGCAGGGAGATTTGTCCTTTTTTTTTTTTTTTTTTTTTTTTTTTTTTTAGGAAAACAGTTGTCATTTTATAGACATACAAACTTGTTGAATGTTTCACTGACAACTGCTCATGTTAAAAATAAGTTAAAAGTAATTTTAAAAGAATTTTGATTACCTCAAAGTATTCTATAGCTTCATAGTTTCTTTCTTATCTTTAAGATAATCTCTGTAATTCTAGTAATGTCTCGTTTGAGCACAGGTAAAGGTAGGGATGGTATTTCGCTTGCTTGAATTTTGCACGTGGCAGGAAGAGGCACTGCCGTTACTGTCTGTCCCCTGGTTAGGAACCGATATATGTATTTTTTGCCAAGGAGTCATAAGCACGATAAAAATAAAGTTGCGAGCAAAGTGTTTTCTGCAAGACGTGCTCTCCCCAGGGGAGTTAAAGCCTCTGGCTTCCGTCCTCCCTGGCTACCAAATAACTCCACGTCTATTTCATGGTGACTGTTTCAACACATTTCTTCCCAGTCAAAGCCAGACTAGTCACAAGTCTGGTATTTCCAGGACTATTTGGATCCTTTCAGAATGAAGCAAGCCTAAAACCCACATCCCTTATCCCCCCCTGTTTCCCTGGATGAGCACTCTGAACACTAGGCTCCTTTGGCAGTGGAGGATCGAATGTCCATTGAACAGGAGTGAGCTCTGCTCTGTTAAGAATACCTCTGCTGAGAAGATGCACTTTGGCTGCTGGTCAGTGCAAGGCTTGAGCATTAAGTAAGATGGTTATTACATGTAATAGTTTTTGAATGTTTGAGATATTCTTCCCTCTCCCTCATGGCCAGTTCCAAAACTCACAATCTGTGAGTGACAATGCCATTTCATAAGAATAAATATGTTTATTTGGATTATGAAGATTACATCTCCTTTCCTTATGACATTTAAGCCTTATTGTGCTACGAATTCACGTTTCGGTGACAGATGTCTAGTTCTACTTGGGCAACCTCCTGTGAACTGTAAATTTCTCCAAGCATGTCTGTTGACATCCCCTAGTTTAACACAAGTAAGGATGGTGATGGAGGAGCCAGCAGTGATCTTCCAGTGAGCCGGTCTAAATGCACTGGTAAAGGTGGATGCAGAATGGTTTATGTGGAAGTAGTTGCTTCTGCACCTTTCTGAAAGGGCACGTCCTGTGGCTGATGCTCTGAGTCACGCTGGGTATATATGGGTGGAAGAATATGTCCCATATTACTCCTGTTGCAAATCAAACTCCAACAATATCCAAAGCTAAAAGATATGGCCACCAATTTCAAGTGATTAGTTACCTTTGTCTGTCTCATATTCTTGAAGATGTTGTGTTTTTGTGTTTTGAAAAAAACAAATTGTACAAAGTATTTGAACGCCAATGTGTTTCTTTGTGTGTAGTAATATATTTTGGGTTTAATTATTTTAAAACCTAATAAGGTATTATAAGATCTTTGCTCTAGGAGTCTTTGAGATTTGTTTTGTATATAGGTAAGACTTTCATGAGCAAAATTTATTGAATTAAATGTCTAGCTCCCACTGCCTTTCAGTGAGACTGGGCACTTACTTAATAATCTTCTAGAGATTCTCCTTCTCAGTTAATTTGAGAGGGAGGGAGGAAAGGCAAAAAAAAAAAAAAAAAAAATTGTTTTTGATGAGACGAGTAATTTAAATTTTGAGAGTCCTGTGGCTTGTTATAAAATGCCCTTATCATAAAGGAAGTATAATATTTGTGTCTTGATACCACAGTTCCTGTAGTCAGAGTTATTTTATGCTTGTGTGCAGAAACTGTAAGTGTTCTTTCATTAACAACTTCAGTGAAAATTTTTCAACATTTTTTAAAAATTTTTTTTTTCTAAAGGAAAGAGAACTTGAAGCTAACAAGAAAGAGAAAGTGAAAGAAGCTCAGCTGGAAGCTGAAGTGAAGTTGCTGAGGAAGGAAAACGAAGCGCTTCGTCGACACATAGCAGTGCTTCAGGCAGAGGTTTACGGGGCAAGGTTGGCAGCCAAGTACTTGGATAAGGAGCTAGCTGGAAGGTGTGTAAAGGCAATTTGTGTATCTAGCAGGGCTTCTTTCTCTCTTTTGTTGGTAAAGGCATTCTTTTATACTGCGTATAAAAGTAGTAGAGCAAAACATGAGTCCTCATCCATACCAAGTATTTTTTGACACCACGGAAGTCTCGGCAGTGCATATACAAGTCGCAACTTGGAAGAGTTGGATATAAACATCTGTAGATTTTTGACCTATTATTGATTATAAGCCAAGCTTTTCCTTGTTCACTCTTTTTGTATCTGCAGCCTGCATCTTCTAGTAGCATCTGTTAAGTTTTCTTTTTCCCTTGGCTTTGGACTGACCATGTTGATAGATGCACTGTTGTCACCTTAGGGTTTAATAGTCATGCGTTCTCTTAGTTATCTTTACAAATTTTAAAAGACTTAAGTTTTCACTGAATAATCCTGTTAGAAAGGCTTCATTACTGCATTTTTTTTAGGATGGGTTATTTGTGGTTGCTTTCTAATCCTCTGTAGTCTGTAGCTTTTAAAATTGTTAGGAGATGTGCAGAGATGAGAAAAGCGTGCAGAGATGAGAAACTCTGCAGTATGTATGTCACATCATATCCTTTACAGACTGTAATAGATACAGACTATGATAACTGCTATAGCTGTGACATGATTAACTGTGGTAATTGGCGATGGGCAAGTTGACCTTGACAGGTCAACTGAGGGCTGTGCTGCCATCCAGAGGGACCTGGACAGACTGGAGGACTGGGCGGCGAGAAACCTCATGAGGTTCAACAGGGGCAAGTGCAAGGTCCTGCACTTGGGGAGGAATAACCCTGGACACCAGTACAGATTAGGGGTGGACCTGCTGGAGAGCAGTCCCGCAGAGAGGGACCTGGGTGTCATGGTGGACGACAAGTTGACCAT